CCATGATAGACTGGTGCCTCATTATCGCCAGGTAACAGCGACCATACTAGCCATCGCTTCGATAATATATTATGAAGCGTGTTGCTTTTAAAATTGAATTGCCTCGGCTCGCTGCACCGAAAACTGCTCGACTGTGAATATCGTGAATTATCCTGATGCGGGTCACGTCGGTGCCGATGGTTCACGCTCTGGTATCGTCTCGCTACACGCCGCCACGTTCGAGCGGTTTCACGCGTTTAACGCGTTAAATGTTCTTGCCGAAAATGAACATTCGCCGGACCAGTGCACGGAAAAGTCAAACATAATTAACAATGTTAACGCAAACTGATTTTCCTTTTCTTGTGCTACGATTCTTCGTCGAAAACTAGGAGTGGAAACAGGAGGATAATAAATAGACAATGGCAGAGATTTCCAAATATTTAGTTTATCACAGAATTATGTTTGAGAGGTGAAAAGCGTACAAAAGGCAAATTGAAAGAGTGACAAAACACTAAGTGACACGAACCTTTGTGACGAAAAGCTCGGCCAGAACAGTGAATATATATTTAGTCGAAAGGCGTCTCGAACGAGCCGAGGATTTCGCGCAACAAATGCGGTGCAAAAGTGTCCGAATTAATGGGCCGCTATTCCGGGGAATAAACGATACGTTTTAGCTCGTAAAGTAAGAGAAGAGACGTCCCGGGCCAGGATATTTATCCATTAGGAATTCTGGCACGAGACCCGCCGCGTGACGACGATTTGATTTTAATCGGTCAGTTTAGAAAATATCCCGACTGCCTTCCTAGCGACCGACTTTCAAACGATACCTACCGGCGGTGGTCGAAAATAAGCTCGACCGGAAATATTGACAGCTTGATTTCTGTTCGATCATCCGTCTCGTCTGTTTGGATTTCTAATGTTTGACGGTAACATAGTTTTAACCTTTAAATCAACTGACCATGCTAATTCAAATAACTGTGGATTTAAATCATACTTCCATCTGAATTGTTGGTCTAACACAAAAAATAGAATTGGTATCTTTTAGATATCTGGTAGTACCTGAATCTGGTTCTGCTTAAATAGCAAAGTACTTAAACCGAATACTTGAGATTCCTACACGATATTTATATATCATGGTAGGATGGAATTTTTCTTTACTGCAAGACTCCGCAGCTTGCACAACGATCAAACATTCAAGAGAGAACTGTCTTCTATTCACGACATCCGGCGACAAGTAGATATGATAAATGAGAGTGCGACAATAAAACCTCTGCTTCGCCGTTAACGGGAAGATGAAGTGTGTACCGGAAGAAGAGCGAAGTGCGTACGTGGCAGTGTCGGGGATAACCTGTTCGCGGGTGGTCGATAGAGGAAAGAAACCGTCTGAATGAAGACGTGTAGGAAAGCTCGGGCGGGAAGATAAAAAGGGTGCGACCAGAGAAAAATGGCTAAAAGCCGGTGGAACGTGAGTCGGAGGATTTGAAAACGAAAAAGGGCGGCAGGAAAGTTTATTATGTTCTTGAATAGTGCTGCCGAGCACGGAAACACGCAATTTTCATGACAAAGCAAGCAATAAAACGTGTCCGAGACGGAAGGTAATAAAAATCCTGTCAGCCGGACGAAACGTTTAATTTCACACCCACCACGCTAATTTATTCTACCGAAAATTGGATGATAATTAAACAGAGGTTTCATCTATCAGAACAAGGTTCATTATTACCTAAAACTTTCCGGAAGTGCCAAATGCTTTTGACTCAAACACGTTGTTTCGTCATTCAACATTCTCCGTGTGAATCAAGGGAACTTAAAATCTTGTTGAGGTTTCTTTCTATTAATTCTCAAAGGTCCCGTACGACCCACGCGACGCTAACCTCGCGATCGGTATGAATGGGCGGAACTGGATAAAAGAGCAGCCGAAAGGGAAAGTGGTCGGATGAATTAGGGCGTCCAAAACGGAGGCAATAAATAATTGAAGAAACGAGGGAAGGAAGACTGAGATGAGGAAAAAGAAACCCGTGTAAACGAACAAAGCAGAGAAGAAAGATTGCCAGTTTAGAAAAACGTGTATTAAGAAGACAGCGGAAGAAAACAGAACGTGAGAAACGTAAGAAAAATTGATTCACGGATAAAACAATTATCGAACATAAATAATAATTGGAAAAATTGTAACTGCAGGAATAATAAATAAAAATAATTGTAACTATAAGATACAGTAAATGGAGCGGAAATTATGAATGTCTGTAATTTATTGCGTTTTTATTTTTGTGTAAAATAAGCGTATAACTCGATCAAAGAACATCGGTGAACAGGTTACGAGGTACTTTCGTTTTTTCCTTCTTTCCGTTTTATTAGTGAACCCGGTGAAAGAGAGAGCACGAAATCGCTTTATATCGAGGAAGGAGTGTAAATCAACACTATAGTGGCCCGTTAACATTGCGTCATGGCTTTTGCACTTAATCCTTTCTCCTGGAAATCATTTCACCCACAGTTCGAAACGGATTCTTAATGGGTGCTAACATGATACCAGGCCGCATATAGGAAATACTAGAAATCAATTTCTTATACTGCTCGTGAGAACTCTGTAGACTCTATATTATCACCTTACCAACTTTCATGTGGATTTCAAACAATATAAACTATACAATCGATATAAGTCGGAGGCAATATAACAAGAGTCTACCCAAGCATCTTTGAAATAATTCCAAGAAAATATTGTCGCTTCAACAACTACAATAGTAAACTTTTGGAGTAATCATAAATCTCTGAAATCATAGTAACCCAAGTTATTTGTCGAAAGGTGCGGATAGAATGCAAGAAGACGAAGCAGGAATCCAATCGTGACCGAGAAAGAATGCCGTTGTACCCCGCATCGACTCGACAAAAGGATCTGCAAGGTTCACATGTGCCATCGTGAGCCTCTCCCTTTCTCTCGTGTAATTCTGTTGTAATTTTTAATAGTGGCTAACGATTGCATGGTGAAAGTAAACGAGGTTGTTTCGTGGGAATCGTTTTATAAAGGGCTATGATTATTGCGGGCATTACTTTGCATCTAACAACTGGCACGGTTCGAAATTCATTGTGAAAATCTCATTGTGCGAGCACCAAGTTTTCAACTGTAACAACCGGGGAAACATTTTTGTTTCCACGTTTTTCTGCAGTTTGCAACATTTTTCAGCATAAAAACGAAACTTTACTTACTCTCTGACTATTGTTCGAGCTTTCAACTACGACATGTACTCAAAAAAAAACGTAATGCGTTATTGAATAATTACGTACGGCAATTTTCTTTTGTGTCGCGTTTATTTTCAGTCGTGAAATGTTAGTTGATAAAGAAAAAAAATAAATTGCAACGTTAAGACACATTATCGCTAAAAAAGCTATTGAATACTTTTTTGTAAACCTTTAAAAGCTATTGAATACTTTAAAATGAGAATGTATCAATTAAATGATATTACAAATAAATTGATATTTCACAAAATCTAAATATTCGACGCGTTATTTCACGCGGACTTCAAAGCGCCAATATTTAAAAATGTTCAAGTCTACTTGCATGCTATAATAAATTGTACTCACCTCTTCATCCGACGATGGTTCCTCATAATCCGACTCGGTGCATTTGAAGACAAAGATGCAGTCTGACGGCTCCAGTTGTCGATCATTGCCGAACTGTGTCTGCTGATCGATCAGCAGCTTCATCGAGATCGTCTCCACCATCTTCACAATCCGTTTAAACCAATGTTGTTCCAAAGAAATTGCTCTTTTCGCTAGGATTTCCTGTAACATAATGTTCAAATATTAAATTCTAATAATAAAAAATTGTCTATGTGTTTTGTTTGTATTTCCTCATTCCCCACATTAATTAAAAAAAGATCAACGCCATCTAAAGGTTTACATCCTGAACTAAAAAATAATGTAACAGGATAACAAGAGAATGAAGGAGGTATACTCAGAGCTGTATCTAAAACATTGTAGGCCTTATGCATATAAATCACTCCTTATAATAATAATAACAATGTTATTTTGATGTCTGTGAAATTAATAATACCCTTGTATTAAAAAGTTTTTAAAATAGAGTAATAACAAGTACTTCTATAAGACCTAGTATCTATATTTTGCATGGTAATAAACATGACCCTGGTAGTTACAGTATGAAATTTGATAAGACAGATTACTATGCGAGAGATTCCTATTCATCATCGAAAGTACGAGTCTTTAAATTACACTGTTTCATTCATCCGCGCACACGTGATGCGACCACATGGCTAGATACTTATGACTTCATTTATAGATATGAACAGCCACAATCTTAAACGAATACGGCTATGAGTATAGTATGGATCGAATTATCGTTTACGTCACTCTAATGTACCGTGCACGTGCGGTATTATCTCTGGCTATTTATGTATATACATATATATAGAAAACGTATATACACGCGTTATGTGGCGCTACGTATGCGTTATTACTCCGTTACTGACACGTTTGTAGGTTAGATTGTCCAGCACGCGCTTTGAAATATTTTCAAACAAAACATTTTTTATCACTTTCTATAATTATACTTATAATTATGAATAAAAATAGTTAATCAAATTTAACAGAATTTCGTGCAACAACATTACGAACAGGAAAAAAAATGTCGGCAAAATTTGTTAGGTTAGGACATATGTATAAAACATTTGCAAGGAAGTACTTAATATTTATAAGAACTTATACTGTAAAAACTTACTACAATATCCATTTGAACATGAGACGATAATTCAATAAAATGCAGTTATCGCGTTCAAAACATGTTTCTTTCTGAATACACACACAGTATAAAACATATATCGAAGAGCACAGAACTCTGAACGGTGCTGCCACCTGTTGGCAACATCTGTAATCAATGGTATAATTTTTCAAAAATCTCCCGCTCATTTCTTACCTATAAATGTGATCAATAATTTTTTTTTATATTTTAAACAATAAAAATAATCTTATTTCAATTTCTTTTTTTTTTATAAATTACATTCATTAAATTCTAAGTATGTTTTTATAAAAAAAATACAAAATTCGTATATTTTTACGGAAGCACCATAAATCACATGCACTTTTGTAACAAATAAAATTTATAACAACTATAATTTAAATAAATTACTTTAAGACTCCATTTTCTCCGACTCGTCTTGCTTCGTTGTTAAAGTAAATGTTTTGCTAGGTTTTAATGCGACGTCTCCTTTGCCGTTTTCTTCGAAATTACATTCATGTAAGGTGACTTCCGATATATTATCTAGCAATTCCAATTTACCGCATTTGCTTTCTGAATTATTTAAATATTTTCGAGTTTCAAAACGAATAGCATACTCTTTAAAATGTCCTAATGAACAATTTGTTGCTACTAATTTCGCATTGTCATGCAGCTGAAAGTAATACGAACATATTATATAAGTCATGTTGTTCGTAACAGCATAATTACGCTAATCTAAAGTAAATGATGTACCTGTATACCCTCTGCACAATTTTTAAAATTGCAATTAGTCATAAGCACTTCCCCATGGCCATAAATAACCAGACCAGTCCCAAGACCGTCGAATAAAGTATTTTCTACTATCAATTTTGCATTAGGTAAAACCACAACTCCTAACTTCACCATACTCTGATTTAAGGCACATATTTTACAATTAACAATTTTTGTAGTTCCAGCCCTAACTATTATGGCTGCTCTAAGATCAGCTACGTCTACAGTAATGTTTTCTAGCAAAACCTAAAAATATGTGCTTTAATTAGGTGATAGTTAAAATACTGAAAACAAGTGTAGACCAACATCTTACTTCACTGCCAGAAAAATCAAGTACAGATGGTACAACTTCAATGTCTTTCACAGAAAGAATAGTCTGGTCTAACTTATGAATTCCCTTAATAGTACCACCCTCTTCTAAATTACCAGCACCTTTTATTTCATGATTTCCTTCTCCAATTACAATAGTATCTCCTGGTTCACACATATGTAGAGTTTCTTGCAGTGAGCCAGATATCCTAAATGTAGAATAACAAGATCAATAATCAATCTATGATACTTAAATGTGTACTTACTTACTTGAAAAATAATTTTGGAGATACAGAAGCTTCAACTTTATTTATAATTTCTTTCATTTCCTCCAGACTCCCACCAAGCCATACAAAGTATCCTTTCACACACCTTTCTTCACTCTCCTGCTTTTCTATTTTATTAGTGGTTAATGATGAAGTTCTATTTTTTACAAGGATTTCTCTCATAGCAGGATTTTCAAGAACTTCCATCTCTCTCTTAATTTGTTGCAATCGAAAGTGAAGTTTCATTAATTGACATGCTGTTCCTCCATCTAGTATATCAACTTCAGAATCCTCTTCATCAGAAATAGTATCCTCTAATCTTGATATTCTTTGTTGAATCTCTCGTCCTTCTCTTACTAAACCTCTGATAACATCACTGGTGTCCTTGCTAACAATACCCCTCTTCATATCAAAAAACAATCTGATTCTTGTTTCCAAATGTACAGACACCCAATCAGCATTATCGTCATCATCTATATCCCATGGCATCCACAAATAATTATAAAAAAATCTTAGTTGATCAATGCAACTTGAGGTGCCCACCATGTCTAAAGCAATATTTTCTTGCTTAAGGGTTGGATAAAGTTCTACAAGCGGTACATCATATTTTTCAGGCAAATGAATTTCGTCTTGAACAGCAGTGATTTTCACTAATGCAGATAAGGCATTAAAATTGACTTGCTCAACCTCAACAACTACTATGGTAGGATAATGGATTTGAAAGTCTTCACACACTAAACGTGATATCTTCCACAATGCTTGCCAACCAACAGGTTCCAACACAAGTTCCACATGATAGGACCATTCTGCTTGTATCTGCGATGCAGGTACTATTTCACCTCTACTTGACAAGATTTCAGTTAATTCAACCAGTCTTTCTTGGAGACTTTTGTCAAAAGTATATATCTCCATTGATATATGTAATCTACAAAGTGAAGAGAATCTATTTAAAAGAGAATCCATAAAATATTACGACTTTACACAGACTTACTGATTAATCTCAAATCCTCTTTACAAGTTTGTAACGAAAACTAGTCGATAAGCAAAGTAGTATATACGAAAATTTTTAAACGAAACTTTTAATAACTAAAAAATATTTTGAGCTTAACGATCGGATATTAAAATATGAAGCTGTGTACACCGATAGAACAGAATAAGTGACAATCACCCGCCTTTTTATTGAAATAGATATGAAAACTAATCAAGACTCTCACTATATTTTGAAGTACACTTAATGTACAAAACAAAATAATATTTTAAAAATGAAACAGAAGTTAACATTCGTTTGAAAAATCACAAGCACATTTTAAATTAACATTATGCGGTACGTCAGGTAAACTACCATAAAAAATTTGAAATACAATATTAACGAACATGATTAGTCGATCAGTACGAATCGATTCTCGTTTCCAACAATAGTAAGTATCGATATCAACTGATGAACAAATAACAAGTTCACTTTTTCGTAAAAATAAATAGTGCCTTACTGTATTCATAACATTTTAAATTATGTCTGGAGAAATAACAGGTTTGTTTAATTTATTAAAAGAAGTTAATCGCGTATTTTCTTCAATTAAAACCAGTTCATATAATAAATGTAAGCAAACTAATATGCTCAATAAATGATTACAACTCTTGTAACAGATACGGATATTTTAATCACTGATGCAAATATAGAACAAAGCTCTAAAAATGCAGAAGACAAATTCTTTGACGAAATTATTGGACATATAGAAGATATTTTATTAGGTGCGCATTAAAAATGATATTAAAATGTTCGCTTATTTGAAGAATTTGTGTTTTCAGAAGATGAATTTTATGCTATTCGAAATAAATTTTTGGATACATATTGGGAAGTTTTTGAACCTATAGAAGAAAATAAATTAATTTATACAGATATATTTGATGAATATGTAAGTGGTATAACTTTATTATTCGAAATTTTGTATGCACATGTTAGAATATTCATTCATTCAATATTTATTTTAGACTAAGGCTTTGGAAAGTTACATAGTGAATTATTTACAAAAAATTATACCACATTTTAACATAAATACACTTTTGAAATATTTAAAGTAAGCATTACAATTTTACACACAATTTGTATAAAAATCATATTCATTGTTCATTGAAAACATTCTTCTTTTAAATGATCATTAAATAACTTAGTAACAGGCAGAAAGAACTGGATGGTGAAGTTTTCGAAGTATTATCAACATTTACAGACTTTGTGGCCTTTAAAGAAATGTTCCTTGATTATAGAGCTGTAAGCATTATTGATCTGTGGTCATGTAATAAAAATATATGTATCAGTATGATATTGTTTTCAGGTAAAAGAAGGAAAAGTTGAGGATCTTAGTTCTGGAATATCTGTTACATCTCTCAGACCACATAATATCAACAGAGATTCTGTCAGATAATAAACTTTTTAATATATATGTATATGAAAAGTAAATTAATGTACATGTACTGATTCTATTTATCATGTTCACCTAACCACATTTCTTAAAATAAAATACATTTATTCTGTTCACAACGTTTTTCACCCTTTAACATTGTGGAAATATGATGCGGATCTTAATAAATTCGACATGAATGTATTAAAAAATTTTAAATATCTAATATTCAACGCATAAGAATGTCCATTTGTACAAGTTTGCTATTTGTCTCGTCTGGCAGACGATATGGAAGTGCGCCAGCAAAACTGGTTAATGCTGTTGCTTTATCCCGAAGATCATCAAGTAGCTGCTGCGTCGCTTGTTCGCCACCTAATTTTGCGGATCGTAACTTTCGGTACTGATTATAAAGTATCGTCATTGTTGCTAACACAACATCTGCTAATGTACCAGCCACTTCTGGCGATGCACGTCTCAAAACATTTACTCTTTCGTCAACTTCTTTCACGTGTAATGGTAATAATTTTGCTTCCGCGATGGTCTGAAAACAATCAATATTATACATGTGTAATAAGAATTTCAATACAAATAATATGATTCTGTATTTCTTACCCTAAGAGCACTCTGATATTGTTCATTATGATATTGATCAAAAAATATCATTAAATGTCTCAAAGTATAGAACGCAGATACTAATTCAGACGGTGCTTGTATCTCGATATTTTGATACCTGAAAATAAATATTTTTATACATAGTATAATATTTAATAACAGTAGTAACAATTCACCTTCCTAATAACAAGTACCTTTTACTTATCTCAGTAGCAGTTACTTGTAAACGATCTCTTAGCGTCCCAGGTGAGGGTTTTTCGCTGACAACTTGGGCCAAAAGAGTACACATTAAACTAAGAACCCTCTCGTGATTACCAGCGAGATCATACATCGTTGCAGCATCTTCTAATAGACCTTTTCTATAGAACGTATCCGCACTTATATTAATGACATCCTGTGTATTGATTTGGAATTGATCTAAAAGTCCTGGCACCCAACGATCTTTTTCTATCTTGCCCACTAACTGAGTTCTATTTTCTGGTGAAGAATCAACCACCATCTCTGCAGCTGATGCCGCAAACATATTACGTTCATATGGATCTTTCATGCATCTAAAAATGTCAAATAAAATAATGCATTAAAGTTCAAAACTTAGAAAACTGTTTATGCCATCATACAAACCTTAATAAGAATAAATAATGTAAACACTCTTTAGGATCAGTAGTATCAAATCTCTTGACATAAAACAGTATCAATCTAGCAAAGTTTAGTCTTTTTGCAGGTGGTTTGTCAGCAGGGTCAACACTTATCAGAGGTGCTAAGACACTCTGGCTAACTCCTAATAAGTTGTTCTCGTTCATAGCAGCTGCTAGATGCACTGCATGTGGTAAATGTCTTGCTCCAGCACCTCTGGCCAAAAATTCAATTGCAGCTTCAAACTGACCAGTTAAAAATAACATGGAGAAGTATACAAATGGTTGTTCATGAGCATGATAGTATGATTCTCCTACAACATTTAAATAGTCAATAAAATTCATTAAAGTTATCTACTGTAAAAACGTACATGTATATAAAATACATATTTGTACCATATATTTCTGAAATGGTAGTTTGAAGATAATCTAAAGTCAACTTGTTCCCTGCATCTGGTTGATCTCTAACTTGGCACAATTTTAACCATAAATAATCATCAGCTGTACAGATCACATCAGAATGCAAATCATCAGGTTCACATGGAACCAATGCACAATAAGCTACCCTTTTATATGGATCAGTAACTGATCTAACATGTTTTCTATAATGCAATTTTAGATTTGATTCTGCATAACTATTGGGATGCCTTTGAGGATCATTGCAAGCTTGTTCCAAAGCAGCTTTAAATTCTGCAAATTCTGTATTGCATTGATTAAGGCATTCTAGTGCTGCTTTATAATCCCCAACTCTCATGCAATAATAGACTAAAGGCCATAATGGTTTCCCCTCTACCATAACATCTTCCAAATCTCTTAGATTTTGCACTTTAACACTGACAAAACTTTTAACTAATGGTACAGTGCCTGGAATGCCACCTCTTTTGGCCTGTGCCAAATTTTCACTAATAACAGATGTCATAAAATCTCTGTATCTATCTTCCAAATATTTCCTAGCTTGCAAGACAATTTTCTTCTCAACAACCGGAGTACTTCTGGATTTAATTTGATCCTCTTTAGGAATTGGTGGAATATCCACCATGTATTTAACCATTTGCCACATATCAACAATCTTTTTATCATTAAATGACTCTGCAGCTTTACAAAATGCATTAAATAAAACTGGTCTAGTTATTCCTCTAAGCACATGATCATTATAATTCTGTAATTCTTTAACATAAGCTACTTCTACACTGGACAAACCACTGATCATGGATCCAGCTAGTTTAGTACGTTGTGGGATACCACGTAAATCTACAAGTTCTCCAGATGGTGTAGTCATAGCATTTATTATCTCAAAACGCATCTGTTTCCATTCTCCCAACATGTGTTCCATTTGTTGAACTCTAGTGAGTTCAAAAGTCTAAAATTGAAATCATAGGCTTAACATACATATAATATCTTATAATGTTTATCATATAAGGAACATAATATAATGTCTTACATCTTTGTGGACTTGTTCAATGATAGATAAAATAGCATTTTCTTTTTCATTTCTAAGGTAACTAACTATATCAGTGTCTGCAATAGGGTCTAAAGGTTCAAATGTACGTCTTGCACTAAGTGAACTTAATTTTTGTGATATCTGAGATAAATCAACACCACGAGAGCCAAGTAAAAGGTGCCTGAAATTAGAATACATTATTTGGTAAGTCATGACATTTTGGCGCCAGAAATTTGTATAACACAAATAGGTTATGGTTCTCTTGAATCATGGTTATAAAGAACTTTTCATACAAACGATACAAACTTCAGAAGAAATGTATGAAATTATTGTTTGAAATTATACATGCAGTGGATATGCAAATTCTCTTACGCTTGAACTTGATTAGACTGAGTGCCGGTCTGCGTGACACGAGACCAGAGTTCATTAGACGTTTCTAATATCTGACGCAGATTTCTCTCAACTTGAGGAAGTTCTTCGCTTCCTTCTACAACAGCGGACAATTGTTCCGCTAATCGTAGTAATTCACTAAAGCCAGAATCTCCTGACACTCGCGAAGGATCTGTGGTTAACATATCACTTTGTCTCAAACCGTTCATATTGAAAACACGATGTTCACAGAGTTTAATTGATATTGACCGGGTTTTTTCACAGAGTTTATAAACTGCGGGCTCAACGAATAAAAAGTATAGGGAATTTAGTCGTTTTACCAACTATTGGTTTCCCTGTTGTTCATTATTTCATATGAGATCGAATCCAATGCACGTAACAAATACATGAAATAAATCAAAACTCGATAATTGATGTACTTGATTTCCCGTTAAATAAATTGTACACATATTTCAACATTTGTTCCAAATAATATCCTAAAATAATTTCCAATTTTCGATAAATAAAAATGCAGCTTGAAATGTAATGTTGCCAATATTACTGTCCCACTTTTTCACTAGTAAATACTCTATCAAAGAGTAGTACTCTTTGACTCTATATAGATTGACAATCACAGCGTAATCTTCTGCTTGAATTGACTGTCAACGAACGTCTGAATATTTATGAACAATACTTCTTTGAATAATTTTATTGTGGCACTTGCAAAATTTAATACAGTAATAAGCAATATGCATACAAAACTTCCTTGTACTTGATCTTGACGGGCAAACTAGAAGTAACGATGATTGAAATAAATGTTGCGTCTTATCCGCGTGTTCCGCACACGTCGTGGCTGGCAACTCGCTTCTTTATAATGATCGTTTGCGATTAATAATGGAAAAACGGAATTTCAGCAACAAGGAAGACCGCCAGGTCCTCCAACACTACGTGGCCAAAGAAAATACCATTCTAACTCGTATATCAGGAGAATGCGAAATAAATATCAATACGTTACGCCTCGGCATGCTCGTCGAAGCAGTCGAAGATTTGGGAGACAGTGCACTAAGAATTCGAGTGATTGATACAACAGGATCAGAAATTTGGCGTGGCACAGAATGGCGTTGTCACAGATTCGATTTGATCCCTGTTTCATCAGAAGTATGGAAATTTCTACCTGCTGTCTTAGTACCTCAAGAAAGGATTCGCTTAGCCAATCACAAACATTTGTGCGAAGAACTTATGAACCTGGTGGTAAATGATACTGTCTGGTATTGTCCTGATCTGCAAGGATACACAAAATATTTAGCTATTATTAAATACATTGGACCTGTGCCACAACTTGGCCAAGGATATTATTTTGGACTTGATTTATTGGTAATTTTGTGTAATGCTTTATGTTCATCAGCAAATATATGTTTTATAACATTGTGCTTTGTAGAAGTACATGTATATATTTTATAATGTATTTATAGGAAGGTCAAGAATCATCTAAAACAGCATCATTAAGTAAAGAATACTTTGTCTCTACTCACTCAGATGGAAGATTTGCTACATTGTGCAATATTTTTCCATTAAAGCCAGAAGGTCCTACAGGTCTTGGAAATGCGGACAGAAGTACAAAAATAAATATTCTGCATACTTAAGTTTACAGAATATTAATTTATTAATACATCTTTAATTTCAGATTTATTTGTGAAAATTGATACAGGAAATAATTACATAAATGATAAAAAGAAATCTGTACTTGATTCTGCACCAGCTGTACAGTTAGAAAGATTCACTGTGTTTGATGACAATAAAAATAATAATAGAGATCAACGATCTCTGCCAAAAGAGTATCTCCAGTCAGCAAAATCACTGACGCTTGAAAATGACAGTAGTATAACTAAAAATACAAATATTCATGGTAATAGCAATAATATAAAAATAAAATTTGAAAGCTTAGCTTCTTGCTGACTTTTGCTAGCTTTCCTAAAAATCCCACGTAGCATGCTTGGCTTTACCCATGCAATGGAGGGAGTTAAGAATAACTGAGGTGGTTAAAAATAGCCACAACTGTTAGCCTCTCATAGTGTTACCGGCAAGCCTTCCGTGTTGTAAACTTATCATAATTTTATTGTAAAATGGCTGCTGCATTGCAAAACATTCCTATTTTTGTATTAGAACACAAGTGGAGCAGTGATATTGAATCAAATGTGTACAGTGATATTGAAGGAACATTTGAACATTCAAGTTCATTGGATTTTAGTAAGGAATAGCAGATATTTACGAGCCCCACTATACTTTTACATTTCGTGTTTATATAGTTTGTCACATCGCGTTACACTATTTCTTCCACGCTTCATATAGTCATTAGTTGTTTATAGAAAGTGTTCTCTTATTAATTTTGTTTGACTCTTATAACAGGTAACACACCCGAAAGAAATGAAAACAAGAAATTCGGACATGTAGAAAATACGGATCTGATTGTGGGCTCCAATGTAAAGGTGCTTCTGGATTCTGATGTACATTATGGGGTTATTCGTTGGATCGGAACACCTCCGGGTATTACCCCTGGCAAACTGATGGCAGCTGTAGAACTAGTAAGTATATATATCATTTAATCAACAAGAATCGAGATTTAAAACACTTAATTCTTCTAATTTTAGGACAACAATCACCCAACAGGTACTGATGGAACATATAAGGATGTAAGATATTTTCATTGCCGACCTCACAGAGCTGTGTTTACGGATCTTGACCAGTGTTCTCATTATGATACAATGGTAAATATTATTTCAATAATGTTCTGTAAATCTACGACAAAATGCGTAACAAAACGTATATTGTTGCAGATAAAAATAGATGATTCAACGGCATCAGTTTCAGATAATTTCGGTAATATGGAAAGCTCTGTAATCGTCGGTATGGTACGTCCTATTTCCGTGAAAGGAAATTTAGAAAGTATTTGTGGAAAATATCGGGGAATTCAAGGTCATCATAATTCATGCTATTTAGATGCTACTCTTTTCAGCATGTTCACATTTACTAGTGTCTTTGATAATCTCTTATTTAGGTACTTAAACATTATTTACTTTTTATTTATTTTTGTCCAAGTTTTTGTTATAAAACATTTCATATTTCAGGCCGCCAAATGAAAAAGACTGTCCGCAATATGAGGAAGTGCAACGAGTATTACGCGAAGAAATTGTAAATCCACTTAGAAAAAATATGTTTGTTAGAGCTGATCGTGTAATGAAACTTCGAACTTTGTTAGAAAAATTATCATCAGTATCTGGACTTACCAGTGAAGAAAAAGGTTTGTTTCAGAAATATATTTTCACCATAGATATTCTTCAAGTTAAAATTTATTTTAAACTTTTTCAGATCCTGAAGAATTTTTAACATCTCTTGTTGCTCAAATTTTAAATGCTGAACCATTTCTGAAATTAAGTTCTGGGCAAGATGCATATCATTATCAACTTTTTGTTGAGAAAGATGATCATCTGAATCTTCCAACAGTGCAACAGTTATTGGAACAGAGTTTTCTTACAAGTAATATAAGATTAAAAGAAGTTCCTTCGTGTCTTATTATACAAATGCCACGGTTTGGAAAATCATTTAAAATGTATCAGAAAATTCAACCTACATTATTGCTTGATGTAACTGATATAATTGAAGATTGTAAGTATAATAGATATGTTATCATTGATTAATTCTACTGATAATACTGTAATATTTTTATTAAATTTACGTAGCTCCCAGACAGTGTACTGTGTGCGGAAAATTAGCAGAATTTGAATGTAAAGAATGTTACGGAGAATGCGGTGTCGGGCTTGAAAGTATTGCTTTTTGTTTGCAATGTTTAGAAAAGGTGAATTGAACAATAAGTGCACTGAATAAGTTTTGAAATATAGCAGTATAACATGTGGCGATGATAAATCTACTTTTGTAGGTACATCGGCATGAACGAAGAACAAATCATGAACCAAAGAAACTTGTAGTACCAATGGAATTCACCATTTTACAAGAACATTGCCCTGTACCACGATTGTACCTGGAATTATCAGCAGTAGTGTGCATTGAAACATCACACTATGTCTGCTTTGTGAAATGTGGTTCTGGTTCAGAAGCGCCATGGTGTTTTTTTGATTCCATGGCCGACAGAAAAGGTATATATCTCTTTTTTACTAATATTTTAATTTATTCATTTAAAGATTATCTTTATTGTAATTTATTTTCTATCCCTCCTAAGGAGAACAAAATGGTTATAATATACCCGAAATGGTTCCATGTCCTGACTTCCCCTACTGGCTAAGCGAAGAGGGTGGAAATTATCTAACCGAATTAACGGATGATCGTCACCTACCAGAACATGCGAAAAGACTTTTATGCGATGCATATATGTGCATGTATCAGTCCCCTGATGTTATGATGTACAAATAACTTGAATTGCCTGATATAATTAGGTAAGTTAGGTTTAAAATAATTACTTAATAAAAGTAGGTTTGTGCTTGTTTTATTTATTTGATGTACACAAGTTAATCTGGTAAAGGTAAATACTACATAGTAAATACATCTGTTTTTAATGGTGTAAACAGAAAAGTAATGTAGCGTTGAATTATGATTTGTAAAATTTATTCAAATGCTGCAGTCTTAAGGAAACTAAAATAATACGTGTATTATAGAAGTCACTTCAAAATTAGTGTTTTTAATCAAAATTTAATTATCTAATTCGAGCATAGTGTTATCTTTTTTTTGTAATTCGTAGTTATATATGTATATATAAGTGTATATAATATATATTCATCAGTGACATAAAATTAAATTTGTATTCAATTATGAAAGTTCTAAAAAAATCTACTATGCTTTTGTAAAGTTTACATACTATACGATCTTTTTTATAAATTCGAAATTATTTCGATAGATCGATTGAGAATCTTCGTTCAAAACAATGAATATAATAACACATTGAATGTAACAACACATAAATTAGGAGCGTGTATATCTATTAAAAAATTCTACGCATATATGAAACATTGAAAAAATGTAGTTTTATACTAAAAGTTTATAGATACGACAAAAACATTTTGTGACTGACGGTTTTTAGTAAAGAGCACAAACAGCTAACAAATCGTTCCGTAACTTAAAAATATAATGACTAGGATTCAAAAGTTAATGCTGCACTTTTAAATCTACTATTGCTCTACTGATTTTGTACTCCCATTTTTATAGTACGGATTAGAAATGTTTTACTTTTATTCTTATTGCCATGGTGATTTAACAGAGATCTAAAAGGCTAACTTAGTACAACATCAATTTAAAAATCCGCTAAGTTTGTTGCTTTTGAATTTAAACAGTAAGAAGATTGCCACAGATACATCATACGCGAATATTTATATCTGAAAGAAAATTCATATAGTTCTTAGACATAAAAATTTGGTTAACACGTAGCTGATTTATACTCTTGAAGTATATTGAACAATAACATTATATATAAAAATGATGAATTTCCAAGAATAGAATAAGATTCTGATATATTTCAAACTTATTCTTCTGTTTGATTTTTTTGGACTATAGTTAAACTTTTATACTACGCCAAAATCTAAGAAGGGAAACGATAGAATTTTCTATTAGAAGTATTGAATTTTAAACAAATATCACTGCAAAAGAAGATATATACAATCATGAAAGTTAAGATGTATCATTGTACATAATATGTAATAGGTGAAACTGAATGTTCACTGATGCCTTTGTATGGCAGAACTAATAAAGACAATGATAAAGTTTGTAAATGTGTATTTATAAATTTAGTATCTTTCTTCGTCTTCATCCATGGCAAAATCACTGCCCACTCCAGAATCTAGCACATAGAGAGGACTGTAAAAAAAATATAAAAAGATGTTTTAAAATGGCGCATAAAGGAGTAGATTTAAACGACCTATATACTTACTTTATTGCTCTGCATGGGAAAAACACAATGCGCTTTAATTTCTTATTGTAGAAGAAATAATTAAACGACCACAGGCATCCATCTTCTCCAAATGGATCAGATACAAAGTCTGGATTATAACTAAAACGTTTTCGTATTTTTAATTTATTTAGTGTGTTCTGCACATTACTTATATGAAAGTATTAAATACAAAATATTGAATAGAATTTATCGACGTATCTAATAGAGCAATAGAACACACTGAGTTAGAAATATATACCTATAAATATCACATTCGCTTAATGATATTTCATCATCAATAGCGGCCCAAAGTGCTGTTCGGAGAGTGCGATAATGATCTCCCGCCGTTGCGCTTAAATTACTGTCTACAGCATTCATCACCCATTGCAAGCTTGGTTCTTTACTGAATTCGTGGCTCTTAGCATCAGAGAAATCATAATCTGGGTGAAAAGCTGAATTTAAAGTGGCAATCAAATAGAATAACGTTTTCCTACTGATTGTGTCACACAGTGGGCCATCTTCGTCGCCGGAAACGCTACGACTGTATACATAAAAACATAAGAAGATTGTTATTAAATTAATGTACAGGTAACAAAAATAATCAAAAAGTAAATATAGGCTTCTTACAATAATTGATTTTGTTTTTTTTTTCTTTTTCATTGTAATATATTTTATTTTATAAGTAAAAGAATAATATCTTATTTTTTATGTATTTGTAATGATTTATATTGATCCTGAAACTTTTAGTACCTAAAGTATCCTTGAGCAGGTGACGTTCCCAAAGATGTTTGTGGTGGTGATAGTGCTTGAAGATCATGTGGAGTGAAACCTTGTTCAGCATTGAAACGTTTATACAGCTGTTTGTCATTTCCAGCCATTTTGCAAGAGTAACTCTCTATTCTGGAAATAGAATTTGGCATTTATTATCGCATAACAGCTTCTGAATAATCTGATAGACATTGATCCAATCATCTCACCTGCCTATTATTTTGCTGTCTCCAGTTTTGATGGACAAGGCACTGTTTATAGCTTCGAAACGTGTACTTTCAAGCAACTTCATCTTGCCAAGAACAGTGGTTTTCCTTACATCAGATAAACAGGGTGTCTCTGTACTGAATACTCTTGGTGCATCTCCTATCGGAACGCTTTTGTCATTAATACTCCATTACGTTGCACAGGAGTCGATGACCTTTAGCGTACTTCTTGACAAAACTTGGCCTCGTTTCTCAGTCGCACAGCCAAGATAGTTCAATATAATCGAAAGGTTAAAAAATTTCTACTACTTCGAAGACTTATCGAGTCTTTGTACATTTTTTTTATGTATATGAAAATTCCTTTCCTCTTTGAGTGTACGAAATTAATCGTGGACGTTATGATTTTTCCCGCGGCGCCGAACTTGTACATCACAGATCTCTAATTAAAGATATCAAGACGAATTTACCGTCTGCGTATAGTCCCGATTTCAGCAATCGGTCCTTGGATCAAGCTTTAGCCGTGACGAGTTGTTGCCTTCTTGCACCGCGCGAATGACGTGCAGGCGTAAAGAGAGGGAAACGGTGTAAAGGACGGACGACTACCCTTGAGAAACAAAAGACACCGTTTCTCCGACCAAAAATTTACGCTAAACAGAAAGTTCGCCGGTGAACGTTTCACGAAGATAAGAAAAAATGATAGATCAGAATCTTTTGTCAGAAGTCAGCCAAACAAAGCGATAAACAACCTTTACACGTCCGCTACTGACAAAAACAATCCATAATCACGGACATTGTTGTCACTATCACTTCAAGTATCACGATCACTGTCAAAGAAAAACACCCAAAATCCGACCAAACTACGATGCAGTAATCAAAGATAATACAAACTTCAATCTTTCTTTACCCCTATTTCGCACCGTTTACTAACTATTTGTGTTCTCGATGTCAGTACACCTATATGCAACAGCGAATATATACGTGACAGAAATAGCACAGCGAAGCGTCTTAAACTTCTCTCTCTTTAATTATCTTGCTCTCCCTTTTGCTCTTTTTACTTCGTTCCCCCTCTGGTGGTAACCCCTTGCTAACATTTGTTAGTGTGTAAGTACATATGTGTATTTTGTTCAACCAATGGGAAAGCAATGATAAGAATGTGTGTGTACAGAACGCGTTGCAGCATATCACGTACGCAACTTTGAATGTGTCCATGGTTGTATATATGTGTACTCTATTTCGCGGGTAATGGAACCTCCGAATAACCAGATTTCGATTATTTCTGCGCAGGTTGGTTCTGATAGGTTCTAGGAAGATTCGTAATTAACATTAACGCGCAAGCGCTCTTACGATTAAGACGCTAGATTTATATACTTAGTAGCCTTTTATTTTATCGACAAAATTAAAAAATTTCCAAAAATTTAAAATCCTAATGTTCCCAAATTTTTCAAATTCTCCCATTCTATATATTACTATCCACTCTATGTATATAATACTAGCAAAAGAACAGACTAGTGGGGTCTCCCCACCAAGCAGCTTTCCAAGCTCAGTCGAGCTGCGCGAAAAGGATCCGATCATCTGTGAAATAAAATACATACAATTTAACTCTGGTTGCGTACTCGGTTTATTTCTAACCTTGCATAATGCTGACAGGAATTCGAATTTACTGGTAAAATGTCAAAACGTTGGGGTAGCGACTATGTGGTCACGGAGCATCGCGATTTACAGGCACGTTGTTTTATGAAATAGAAATGTATTCCTACAATAGCTTCATGAAATGATTCGTCTATTTTTTATTCATTATAATAATTGAATGTTCTTAACTATTCAATTATCTTTATCATTCGTAGGCTAATACTATGGCCGTGGACGCGACTGGTAATTACGTATTACTTGCTGGGTAAGAAATTATGAATACAAAGACTGTTTACTTTATACAGGCTTTTTTTTAATGTGTCTGTCTTTCTCACATGTTTGTAGACGTCGGTATTTCGCAGTGAAACATCTAGATGAAGGTGCTGATACCTTAAAAAAATTTCAAAGACAAAGCAAATACGAAGTTGGCTCGGCTGAATGGAATCCTACAAGTACAAATTCTCACCTGTGTGCTGTATCGGTAAGAAATTGAGTATTATGTATTTCAAGCATATATCATAAAATGTTTATTTAAACTTTGATTGTAGAGTAATACACGTATCGAAATATTATCTCTTAATGGAGTTGGCTGTTATGACTTACAAACAACAAATAGTCTTAAAGCACATACAAGAGTAGTAAGTGACTTAAACTGGCATCCTAAGGAACCAGATATTGTTGCTTCTTGTAGTATTGATACATTTATACATATTTGGGATGTAAGGGATCAAAGAAGGCCTTGTTTATCTTTGTCTGCAGTAGGTAAATATACTTTGGGATACTTAAGAAGATGATAAAAAGCTATTGTTCTAAACATTTGAATGTAATTATAAATGACCATGTTACAGCTGGTTCTTCCCAAGTAAGATGGAATGCTTTATCTCCTAACATGTTAGCTACGGCTCATGATGGGGACATTAAAATATGGGATCAACGAAAAGGAAATAGCCCTATGCAGTATATAGCTGCTCACTTAACAAAAGTGAATATTTCTGTTCTATTTGACAACATCATTACAATAATTATTTACACCAAAGTTATTTTAGATACATGGTTTAGATTGGTGTCCATTCCAACAAAATCAACTGGCTACTTCTAGTCAAGATTGCACAGTGAAAATCTTTGATATTAGTAATCCACGTAGAGCAGAGAGCATTTTGACAACAAATTCACCAGTGTGGAGGGCTAGATATACGGTAAAAATAACATTCTATTTAATGAAATTTAATTTTATTTGTAATTATAAAAGTTAAATCATCCACAGCCATTTGGGGAGGGATTGGTAACAATAGTAGTACCGCAATTACGACGAGGAGAGAATAGTCTGTTATTATGGAACATAACGAACCTCAGTGCACCTATTTATACTTTTGTAGGACATACTGATGTTGTTCTTGAGTTTCAATGGAGGCATCAAAAATTAGAAAATAGTGATTTTGAATTGATTACTTGGTCAAAAGATCAATGTTTAAGGATATATAAAATTGATCCCATTTTAAAAAAAGTAGGTATATATATGTACATATTACATAATAAACGGTAACTATTGTTTGTATAAAAATAATCTAGAACAATAACATTTTAGTTATGTGGACATGGCATAGATGATAATACATCTATTTATACTCAGTATTCTGAAGATAATAATATAAGTGCGTATATTTTGCTTGTAAATATAGTACATTTTTTGTAGTCAAAATTTTAACTAATTAATATGTGCTTTTGATTTAGGAACATTACAATCCGTCCAGCAACTGCAACTTAACGATACTCAAAATGATCGCGAAGTGAGTTGTATAACAACAAAAGTAGATGAACCGACATTGAATTCTGAATCAGATACATATATCGAAAATAATAAAGAAATATCGTCTCCTACACAACCAAAGACCTTGCAGCAAGAATTCTCTTTGATAAATATGAATATACCCAATATAGAGGTAATATAACATGATATAACAGTATAAATATATGAGAATAAACGTTTCTATTATTTTAGGTTAATGAAATGGATGCTGTAGAACGTAGTTGTACTGTAACAGCATCCAACAAAAGTTACAATGTGATATTAAAAGTAAATTTCCCTCCAAATTATCCATACAGTGCACAACCCACATTTCAGTTTTGTCCTGGAACAACAATTGATAATACAACAATGACGAAATTATTAAAAGTTTTAAAACAGACTGCTCAGCAGCGTGTTAAAAAGAACAGATCATGTTTAGAACCCTGCCTTAGACAATTAATTACAACTTTAGAGCAAGTAAAGATAAAACTTATTTTTCGTCATATGGTTGACGTTCGTTTTGAATAATAGTTTTTCTATTTCTGTAGACATGTAAAAAGGACGAAAATGAAAGTAGTCATTTAGGATACGACATTCAGGATAATGCAAATTTCTTAGGTTCTTCTAACATATACACTAATTATCAAGATGCCAATATACCGTTTCCTAGAACTTCTGGTGCTAAATTTTGTTGTGTGGGTATGTAAACAAAATCGTAAAAATGATCAAATAATTTGTGTACTGGGGCTCAATTCAATGTTTCAATAGGAATACTTGTATGTTTTGGTCGCGCTTCGTACACCAGAAGGTCATCAATGAAACCTGAAAATACCACACCTAGAGCACTTTCTGCTTTAGGAAATGGGATTGGCAATGGAGAACACTTTATACACATGTATTCGAACTCCTATGTACAGTCGAATGATAACATTCCTATAAGTTCGTTTTATTTTCAAGATCGTGTAAGTGGTAGTGACTTTGATGAAGATCATGAAAGTGTAAGATATTTACCAATGCTGCTTAACATTATACAAAGAGATGTTTTGAAATTCACAGAAAATAAGTCGAGGATTACACAATACGAACAGAATGACCTACAGGTCATGTTGTAAAAATTATCATTTTATGGTAATAATATATGATGCCTCGTCATTATTTTTCGTTAACAAAGAGCTAGCTGAGAAATATGTGTAAGTACAATGAATAATTTTATATTTCATGTGTAATTGCTGCATATCTTTTTTATTATAAGATCTTTTAATCTTGTTTGATTCGTAGCATTAATATTACTGACATCCCAGCAATGTGTCAATATAATGCAAATATTGCCGCGGCACTAGAACGTCCAGATTTAGTTCAGGCATGGTGTTTGGCTGCTCTCGTTATTTCACAGCCAGTTGCGAACGTGGGACAAAATTCTTGTCAGTCACCTGATATCGATGCCCCATGGCCTTTACATCCTTTTGGTCAAAATTTGATTCATTCCTTGTAAGTAACAAAGAAATTATCTCTATTGTTGTGTACATATGATCATAGTTATTTATCATTTATCCTAGGATACAGCATTATGCCAATCAGTCAGATATTCAAATGGCAGGTATGCTGAGTTGTGCATTTAGTTATCGTTCGGAAAATCCTGATATTTCTCAAACACGACTAAGTAGCAAATCTATCAACGTTAGTGTAAGTATGTTATATTCATACGTGAGTGTTGAGTTCTAGCATGGTCTAGCACGAGCACTATTTTTATAGTATCATTAAAAACTGATGTGTGTTAAATGTCTTGATCATTTGTCTTCTGTTCATAAAACATGTTGAACATCTCGATATTCAAGGTTACTTTTTAAATATAATCATTTATTCGTGTTTCGATGTTAGCCTATTCGAATCGCAGTATATCACATCTTTCATACTCAGCACGCAACTCTTTCAGTGCATGAGAAATAATTGAACAATGTAAATACGATCTGCTGTTGCGATACGACGGTATCATATGCGTTATCTATACCATAAAAGCGAGACATATATTACAGATCTATAAATGTATAAAAAAGATCTCAAAGTAAACTGCATCATAATAATTAAGACGTATTCAGAGAAGTTTTCCTACTTCACTATCTGTGTTTGTAAATCGAAAAGGCATACTATACCGACGTAATCTGCTGTTTCATTTCATTACTCTCTTTATAAATTTTTTCGAAGTTACCAGATAATTGATACAATGTTATCTTTGTTATAGAGGCTTTCTACAGGAAAGTGGTGGTTGAAGGTAAGGCATGGTTTCCGAATTTTCTAAGTTTGTGCGTGTTTGAAATGTTTGATTCTTAGGGTTCACTTATCATGATGATATTTGTTACTGCCTTACAGCATCGGACTGGAAGTGTCGTGATATCACAAAGCATGCAGGTTTGGCCAATGCCTGATTTTAAAATGCCAAACTTTTTAATGTTGTATCTAATTGTTTTACAGTATTCTGACTAATACTATTTAGTAGTTGGTAGTAACTAATTATATGTGATGTACTGTTTGTTGTGATAATGTTTCAATTTTATACAGAAGACAAACATCTTTGCGCAGAAAGTGATCAGAGACATATTGTTCATCTTGTTAATTATGTATATTATGTTTTTGATGTTAATTTCAACATAACATGTTAAGCTATAATATATTATGCCTTATATATTTTTTTAGCCTGGTGGTTCGCCGTATCATACAATTCACTTAGCGGATACCACATTGGAAGGATGGAATTTTCAGAATTTGAAACAACACCGATCGAACTCGTGGTCTGATTCATTAGATGATTTAAAGTTAATTCAAGATTCGTTTGGGGATTCTGTAAAAAGTATTAGGTATAAGATTAAATTCCATTCCTATCATAGTATGAAGTAAGAACCTATATCAACACCAGTTTTGCAGATTGCTCGACGAAAAATATACTACTCTTTATGATGGATACAAAAAAGCATATGCAGAAGTATTACACAGATGGAGACTATTGGATGCGCGTGCACAAGTATTAAAACACGTGAGTGCAACTCCGTTGGACACGCACAAAGGTGTTGAGTTTCAAAGCGAGTGCCAAATGTGTGGTAAAGTTAGCAGAGGACCTCAATGTATAAGCTGCAAACGATTAGCTTTAGAATGTGTAATTTGTCATATTTCCGTGAGAGGTATATTGAGTCTTAGTTATGAATATTTCACACTTCCTTTTTTTGAGAAAATTCAATTTAAAATACATTATGTTCAGGTCCAAGTAACTTCTGTGTTTTCTGTGGACATGGAGGACACACACAGCATTTAGCAAAATGGTTCAGTAGCGAAACACTATGTCCAACAGGCTGTGGATGCTATTGCTTACAGGAAAGTTCTACCTTATTAAAATTGTAAATAAAAAAAAATAAGAAGTGTACATAATCGCGATGAAAAGTAATGAATGTTATGACAGGATAATAAACATGTCTTTTTCTTTAAAGTCTGTTGCAAATTTGAGGCTTTATTTCATTTACAGCTAACTTCATAAAATCATCTTTTATATTACATTCTTTTTATCATTTTTTTACTTGTCAAAATCTGCGTCATAATCGGGAGAAATGTCTGTTTCTTCCAATTCATCCATGTTTGGTATTTCTTGGTTATCGTCTGAAGGAACAACTATTTCTTTTGTACTATCTGATACTGAGCTCCTATCTTCTGAAGTTACGTCTCCATTACATGGTATTTCTGTTGTATCAGTTGAAGTTGTTCCTAAAAATATTCTTTCCAGCTCTGCCATATCAGCTGCAAGGGGAATAACACATAAAAGGCATTATGTACATTACAAAAATGATAGCAAAATGTACCGGCGTTGCGTCGAAGTCTTTCACAACGCATACGGGCTTCTCTAGCAGGCCTCTCTCTCTCTTCTTCTTCTCGTAACTTATTTTCTATCACAGTATATTTTCTCTTCTGAACGATACCGTAAATTATGCCACTAACTAACAGCGTCCATCTAGCTAGCTGAAAATACTAATTGTTCTGCTTATACGAAAAGAGGCCTCAATAAACTTTATACCGGGTAATATTACCTTTAGCAAAGGTCTAACTTCTAATGGAGGAGTGGTAACATTTTTTTGTTCCATTTCAAAGAAACTGACTCGTAAACAAATTCCTTTTATTTAAAAACGATAGCTGCATCTACGCAAGTTTGTAGACATTAAAAAAGTAGTACTACAAAATACAGTTCCTGCGTTGGCGTTGATCGATTGAACAGAACACTTGACAATCGAGTGATGTTAATAAATGAATGACTAACAGATTAACGGCCGATAATGCAAATCGAAACACTATCGCCGGCACATTTTAATTACATAGATAGAAGTACATATGAGCCATTAGGTGTTCAGCGACTAATATCGATAATGGTCCGCCTTGTAAGGCCCTTCTACAGGTACGCCAAGATATTTGCTTTGTTCTTCTGATAATTTTGTTAGTTTCACGCCAAGATGATTCAAATGCAACGCTGCAACCTCTTCGTCCAATTTCTTTGGCAGCATATAAACACCGACTGGATAGGATTCGGTCTTAGTCCACAGTTCTATCTGCGCCAAAACTTGGTTTGTGAATGAGTTGCTCATCACGAAACTGGAATGTCCAGTCGCGCATCCAAGATTAACTAAACGGCCCTCTGCTAGGAGAATGATGTGTCTGAAACGGGAGAATCGAACGTGAAGCTGAAGCGATGGATGACCTATCCTGTTTAAATGATTATTCACATATTTTTTGCAACAGGTGATTGTTTAATGAATGACTGTTCTTTTTGAAGTTTTGTTAAACCATAAATATGAGCAGTCACTACATATTCATTGCCCACCTTCCATTTTTCAGCGTGTATCTGTCTACTTGTGGCTTGACGTTCACTTTCTCGACAGCGTTCTTTTCCAGCCACGTAACATCGATCTCACAGTCAAAGTGACCAATATTACAAACAATAGCATCCTCTGGCATGTTTATAAAGTGGTTACCCATTATGATGTCTTTGCATCCTGTAGTGGTAACGTATATTTGTCCTTTATTTGATGCCTCTTCCATTGTAGTCACCTAAGAAGAACATGCAATAATCTGTTCAAGGAGTAATCCACATTGGAAGTTTCAGGATCCTTTAGAGTCTGAATTCTGAAAGCATTAGTTATCACCTCGTATCCTTCCATGGCTGCTTGTAAAGCGTTAATAGGATCAATTTCGGTGATAATCACACGTCCACCAAGTGCTCTGAGACTTTGAGCACATCCTTTTCCAACATCTCCATAACCAGCAACCACACAGACCTTTCCAGCGATCATAATGTCTGTTGCCCGCTTGATACCATCGATTAATGACTCTCTGCATCCATACAAATTATCGAACTTGCTCTGCTCGACAGAAGGGAATCATATAGAATCCAGGGATATATTCGGAGAATGATGTATGACGAACCTTTGTTACTGAATCGTTCACGTTTATCGCTGGGACCTTCAGTGTGCCTTCTTTCAACATCTTGTACAGATTGTGAACGCCTGTAGTGGTCTCTTCGGAAATGCCTCGACAGTTTTCCAAGTATTGTGGGAACTTGTTGTGAACTAAATTGGTCAAATCACCTCCATCGTCGAGGATCAAGTTTAACGGTTGACCGTCTTTAAAGACAAGGGTTTGCTCTATACACCATAGGTACTCCTCGTCGGTTTCACCTTTCCACGCATACACAGGGATCCCTGCTTTTGCAATAGCAGCTGCCGCATGATCTTGCGTGCTGAATATGTTGCACGACGACCATTGCACCTAGTGGAGGAGCGGTAACGTATCAGTAATCACGGTAACCCCTGTTGAGTGTGCATCAAGTGTTTCCAATGAGTAAGCAGTATGATGGCAATGGATGTCTGTGTAACGTTGAAACATGGAGAAGTTGTTTCTGAGGTGTAACATCCAGGTTTGATATTGTATGATAAGTTTAAGAATCCAATACAATGTTTTGTGAAGTTTGATTATAAATAAGGATAGATTATATATATAGTTCAGTGTTGAACTAAGGTCAAAGTATTGTATACATAAATAAAAAATATGTCAATAACACATGATTTTTGTTCAAATTGGTAGAAAAAATTGCAAGTATATTTTGTTGTTAGGGTAACTTCTTTTTTATTTTGTACAAAGGAAGAATGTGTTGCATTACAATGAAAGAGAAACACTCTTGTTGCATTATCTGATCTAAATTCCTATTGAAAAAAAAGATTCTACGTATTTTCAATGTCTGATACAACTGTAAACGGATCTTACGAAAGATGCGAGGTCATGATCCTACAAGATAAGATTTCGTTGACGTGTAAATGCGATTTATTTGTGTCATTTCTTTTTACGAACAAGATAAATGTTCATTATAAGTTGAAATAAAAGATTAGGAGAACAATTCGCATTATCACAGATAAAGAAACATGTATTCATAAAATTGTCATAATACGAATCGAACGATTAATCTGAATCGTACCGATAAAAAATGCGCGCGAAATCTTCCGATACGAATAAAAATTAAAAACTTACCTCGGCACCAAGTTCAATGAGGGTTTCAATAAGTACTGCAGTCTGCACCGTCATGTGAAGACATCCGGCAATTCGTGCACCTTTTAAAATCTTTTCAGGACCATATTTCTTCCTAATAGCCATCAATCCTGGCATTTCGTGTTCTGCCAAAGTGATTTCTTTCCGTCCCCATTCCGCCAACGACAAATCAGCTACGATTAATAAAAAAATTGTTTGTTAATTTATTAATCAATTAATTTTTTATTGCTTTATAAGCAAACTGTCAAATAAAATTAACAAAATTATTTAACAATCGATTTTACTGAGACAATGATTTGAATTTTCGTACGCACATCAATGATGGCGCTTACGACACACTTTCAATTGTTTCGTGATTGCGGTTCAATCAAATTTGGGTTTGAATTAATGAATTTTTTATTAAATTCTATTGTGCGAGATCGTTTTAGATAAAATCAATGTCAATATGCGTTGCAAAGACTTTTTTTGACAAACACATGGTCGTGTAGGTTAATCATCGTTTATCGTCGTATTAGATTCTTTCAATTTTGTAATTTAATTCACAATTAATTGTCCATAAATATTTTAACACGCTCTTTGCTATTCTTCCCATGTATTGTACGAGAAATGGCATCTTTAAATACCATAAAATAAGTTTACGACTTTTGCTCCAAATCAACGACCATGTGCTGAGTAATGTAACTCGGAATTTGTTCATGATTTTAGTACTTACCCACTTTGAATGCAGGTTTAGTAGACATTTTTGTTAATTGAGAAATAACCGTTCCGAAAAAACGAAGTTATGTTATAAATCAGGATTAGGAACGAAACACAATCCTACGAACTACTTTTCCGCCGGCGAGTTGCGGTAAAACTAGTTTTGAGGTGCAAAGCGACTGTGAATCGTGGCCCGTAACTACTTGCTGGTCACGTGAGTAGATTTTAAAATCTTTGGCGGGAAAAGATGTTCTGTCAGAATATTACAGTATAAACTAATACCTCTACGAAAACATTTGTTATACGTTCAATAATTTATTTGAAAATAACTTACTTCAGATATATTATTTAAAATTATAGAATTTGTTATGTATGATAATCATTTCTTTCCAGTATTCATGAATTTTTGTTCACCGTGTATATAATCACGAAGCAAGAATCGGAATGTAGATTAGTACTACACTAATGCTGAAATGGCTTGTGAATTTAGCCAAGATGCGCAAAGGAAGTACATTCTTTTGTGTCGGGGAAATACCTAGCGTATACGCCAATTTCTAACCTATTAGCAAATGTCATGCGTGTTACTTGACGTTAATGCGGTACATACTATCTGATGTATCTTACATATGTTTTCTTCCACTAAAGCTATGTAAGGAAATAGTTATGTGATTCCACGTACGTTAAACGATGACGTACGGGTAATAAAATCCCTTACAATGATGTAACGTCAAAATCAGCAATCTCAATATCTCAATGCAGTAACAGGAAGTTCGATGAACATCTACGATAGTATAAGTTAACGTTGTTGATATCGATACATAATGTTTGCCTAATGTAAAACTATTGTTAACTTTGTCAAAGAATATTTTACTACGTAACGATAAGTAATTTGTTAATTGATGTAGCAAGTGATTCCCGATTGTGAGCATGTGCGACGACGCCCATATTAGAGAGCAATGGCAACTTCTACAGAGTCTTCGTACTACTGTAGAAGGTTTATTGGTTGACGGCGTTTTGAACGTATGGAATGTTTACGGCGGTTTAAATCGTCTTCACAATGTGATGGAGCGTATATTCAAACATGGCTGTCGAATATTTAATCAAAATGTAAGATAGTCTTTATCCTCTTGTTTTCATTGTTTCTAACTTATTTTAAATTATAAAGTAAATTTCATTATTATATTTAATAACTTGCCTTCTTTCTATCTGTGTGTCAAATTGAAACAAAGTAAAACAATTTTAGTATTTTTATTTAATATTGTTTTCATATGATAATTATGACAAACATAACGAGGTATAACAGTACTTTGATAATATTAAAAGTAAGAAAAAGAGGAAAATAATAAAATTTATTATAAGGGAGAACCAGATTGTTGGATTTTTATACAAGGTTTAAATTGGCTACAACCTTCTTTAGCGTTATCACCTGTTATCTCAGAGTCTCAAGATTATTTTTCAAATTTGCCAACCCAAATAACATCACAAAAAGATATGTTATGGTTGTACAAAAGGTAATTGTAGAAGTAAATTATGTAATATTTAAATTTATATAACATATTTTAATGAATTTTATGTTGTAGTTTAGAAAGTCATTCTTTATCACATAAGCTTTCTTGGCTTTTGTCTGATAAGGAACATTTACTTTCATGTTTTGAACCATGGGCATTTTTATGCCAAGAAAATTTATCTGAAGCTACTCTTTTATGTTTAAGAGCAGTTGAAAGAAATCAGCCCACATTACTTACAGAAATTGATCCATCTTTAGTAAGTTATATATCTTCTATACTACTTAAGCCATCAGTTTGTCTATATACTGTATTTTAATCATTTGAATATTTTCATTTTTAGTTTCTACCATCTTGGATTTCTCCAAAAACAAGTCCAAACAGACATCGCCGATCTTCTTCATATCCAATCAATTTTCCAATTACAAATTTTACTGTGGCAAGAGATAAAACTATGCATATTGAAAAAAGTCAATTAGAATCATTGAAAATAGCATCAGATAAGAAAGTGAGCCAACAAAATGAGGATAAATTTGAAGAAAATCAAACTAAAGTGTTAGACACCAAAGAAGTAAATGATATACCTTTAAAAACTTGGAATAGTTTATCAGAATTGACTAAAAATTCTACAGCTCCACAAACAGGTTCTTCTGCATCTGCACTAGTTAGTACAAATACAAACTCATATAGAAATAATGATTCTCAAATTGCATCTGTTGAATTATCAAAAATCATTGATGTAAATTATGCTGAATTAAAACATTCAACATCCATGGTTATGGATAATCCATTACTTGTAAAGCCAAGAACTCCGTTAAGAAAAACGAAAAATAAAACTAAAGTAAAAGATAATTATGCAGCGAAAAAATCTAGCGAAGATTCGGATGTATTAAATAGCGAAGACAAATCAAGAAACACGATAAAAGAATATTGTATTCCACGTACCAAATCGAATAAAATTGAAACGAACAGATCTAGTACAGATTCGACGGAAATAAATATATTTGATAAGCCAAGACGACTATCTGCTTTTTTACCTGGATCGGCACCCGAATTTACTGGTCCATGGAGCTTGGAAATCGAGGGTCAAAAAGATATAAGAACACCAAAAAAAAGTTTCATGGAAGATGGAGGAAGTAGCGTACAGCCTATGGCAATAGGATACTTTCCACGTCCAGCAGAGGGTCAAAGTTTAACGAGCTTTTTAGCTTCTGCACAATTTTCCAGAGCGAATGCCGAATTGGATAGAGAAAATGCACATTTTAGTGTTTCTGAAGCTATGATAGCTGCCATTGAGCAAGTGAAATGCAACAAACAATGGCGTCTTATGGAAGAAACTGCCGAGGAAAGCGACGAAGAAATAAATAGCTTAAAACAAAGGATACGATTGAGACGCCGTCAACGACAAGAAGAGAGATGTAAAGGAAGGACGTGGAGTCGTGACTTATTGAGCGATGGAAAAACTGATACAACGACCACTGATCAAAGTGTTAGTCCATTGTCAACTTCCTCGGATACTCCATCAGAAAATATTTCTACTGACGATATAGAAGATCTAGAAGTGGATGACGAACGAAATGCAGCAAAACTTAAAAACGCTGGCATTTCAGTATCTATGGCATCATTGTACTCAGACGCAGATTTGTATCAAACATCCCCTATGCATGGAACAGAATCAACGTTGACCGACACTAGTATGTCTGCGGAAGGTGTAGCTCTATCGCTTCTCAGTAGGTTTAGTGAAAAGCAACTACCAAGAGCTAGCGAATTACAATGGCTTGTCTCAGAAAAAGATGCACCACAAAGGTTATTACCGTTACCCAAAAGTTGGCCAATCAGTCCAGATGAAGCAGAAAATTTACAATCTATTCCATTGCGTGGAACCACAGAATGGGCCCCACCGAGACCTCAAATCATTTTCACACCACATCCTCCGCCAGTGTAAGTTTACAAATTAAAAAAAAAAGCATCATTTAAATACATAATCAAATTTGATGTTCGTATCTTTAGGCGGCGAACTCTTATAGCTAAACAGAATTATAGGTGCGCAGGATGTGGAATGAAAGTTGCCGTAAAGTATGCAAACAAATTTCGTTACTGTGAATATTTAGGCAGATATTTCTGTACTGGATGTCATACTAATCAAGTGGCACTGATACCAGGAAAGATTTTATCTAAATGGGATTTTAATAGGTACAACAGTTTGATAGAAGTATGTGTAATTTATAAATCTCTATAAATTATCATACTTATTTGATATTTTTTCATTTAGATATCCTGTATCAAACTTTTCATACAGACTGTTGGATCAAATGACATTAGATCCATTGTTTCAAATAAACGATTTAAATCCATCATTATATAGGCGCATAAAACAATTGGACAGAACAAGATTGCTGCGTACACAATTATATTTCTTTAAAGACTTCTTACTTACATGTAGATTTGCAACAAGGTATAAAAATGTAATCAATGTTTTCGTAAATATTTCAACTACAATCTCTTGAGATTTATTTTTCTTTGTTTTAGCATTCAAGAAGTGTTGAAAAAGGAATCCAGTTATATATTAAATGAACCTCACGTGTATTCCATTCAAGATCTGATGCATGTTAAATACGGTATTCTGCCAACGAGATTACAAGAATTAGTTCAAATTTGTAATGTTCATACTGTAGGCTGTGAGGTAATGTTCTAAACTTATATATGAATTTATTTGATATGCTTCTTGAATAAAAGTACATTTATATTAATTTCAGTTATGCCAAGCTAGAGGATTTGTATGTGAACTATGTTGTTCTAAAGATATTATATTTCCTTGGGAATTGTTGAAAGTTAATAGGTGCGAAATGTGTGGTGCATGCTTTCATAACGAATGTAAGCAGAACTTTCATAAAGCCGATTGTCCGCGTTGTATTCGTTTACATGCTAGGCGGATATCTAGAGAAGAACAATTTTGACACACGGTAAACATATCCTATGTTATATTTTTATATGCGAAAATTAAGTTAATAATTTAAATGAAATGTAAGTTATTAGTTCTAAAAATCAGATTTTCTAAAATTGTATTTCAAATTCTATCTTTTATTTATTATGTTTAATATAAAATCAAGGTCTGTATAATTATATTTCTGTGCTGCTGCACTACGATATTTTCAATTACTTGAAATTTTTAAGTATAGTATTTTATAAAAATAAAAATTTATTTAACATAACTATGTGCGAATGACAGACGTAGCAAAGACTGAAACCATGTGATATTTAAAATAATTGTAATGTTATATTTAAAGTATTTCTTATTTATTTTTTCTTTCTGTTACGTAATTATTTAGTATTATGTACTGTTTTACAAACGAAAATAGGGATAAACTGTGTTCTAATTTATTTGCAAATAATTAAAAATTATTTTTGTATTGAAAATAATGTAAATGATATTATCTATTAAGAAACTGAAATGAAATTATTTTTACTTTTCCAACATTTAGTAAACCTTAATTTAATAGACTTTAATGTAAATAATGTAATAAAATTAATACTTAAATTATTGCATGTTATGAGTATGAAATGTAAATGGCAATAACATTTTAAGTAGATCGATTTACAAAAACAATATCTTTATGTTAGAGAAAATAGTCATAAATGATGTACCTGGTTATTATCATGATTGAAAGTATGCATTATTTATAAAAAAACTGTTAATACGATCGAAGTTTATAATAAAACGTTCTGAAAGCTTTAATATCTTTTTATTTTTTGTAAATGTCTATGGACAGTTGTCACTTTTATATTCTACTGAAATTATACTGAAAAGATGTACGAAGAGACATTACTTCGAAAAAATTAAAAATCATTATTTGATTTTATTAAATTACACTTTGTTTACAATAGTTCACATACACACATCTTACAAAATAATAAGTGATAGTACATTCACCGTCAGTAAAAAAATATATTATAATGATATTATATACACCACCTAATTTCAGTAATCCTTAAAATTATATAATATCCTTATTCATATGGTAAATCACTAAATATAAAGAAATCGTTCTAAGTTTGTCCTAATAATTTTTAGATATATGTACACATTGGTGATTGTGGTCAGTATGTACAACTACTTTCTCAGTCGGATCTATACTTTTTTGAACAAGTAGTCCTAAATATTTTCTAGCATACAAATTGCATAATGATTGTGTACGTGAGATAATTTTGATGCATTTGATTATACCAAAGTTTTAAATACATTTATATCACAGGTGGTATTTTGTTAAAAAAGAGATGTCACATTTATTAGTAAAGATAACTAATAATTATGACAAGATAAAGTTAGAGAAAAATAGATCTGTTTGTTTGACCCGCATTATGTATGTCATTAATACTAAGTAATTTCATTTAGAATGGCAAATAACGAGAAATTATACTTTCTCTATAAATTACATATTCACTTAAGTTATATCATTTTCATGCAATTTGACGATATAAATTAATTTTTAAATTTTTTCGCTTATAAACGAAGAAAATTTTATTCTTAATTTTATACTTCGCAATGATTAAAGATTTACTATAATTCCGGTAATTTTATGATAACTACCTTAGAAGCATACAATTTATTATCAGTCTATGAAGTGTAACAACAATGCATAACAATACGCCACACTCCTTATACGGCTTATTAAAACACAGATGCCGCATAATTTTAGCCATACACGTATATACGTACCAATTCAATCTACGATAAGGTATTGTATAATAATATATGTATAAAAAAATGAAAAACAAAAGAATAAAAGATTTACTTCAACCTTTCCATGCATAAAAATGGTTTCCGGAAATATTAATTTCTTTTATTGAATTTTTATGGAGTGTAAAAGCGTGGCGCTAAAATAAATTTCTCAACAAAAATTAAAATAACTTACAAATACTGAGATTGTAGAATAATAGAGAGACTACTAATAGTGTATAAATAAAAAAAAAGTCCCGAAAAAAAAAACAGGAAAAAAAATGATAGCATGTATCGATCATTTCGGATGCGTATAAAAATTAAATTAAATTTCAGTCATTCGAATTTTTGAAATTTCCGAGTAATAAGTAATTTTGAAACCTTTTGGCTGTAATTTTATTATTACGCAAATTAAATAGGGCCATTTTGATTTGCATGTCATTGCTCGGCGATCATCTTAATATTTGATAAATTTCGTTACAGGCTACCTAACAATAATGGAGGCATTCCTGCATATTATTGTCAATCTTGGCTTTTATTACCTACATTTTTACTTTTTAAACTACTTATATATCTAAGGTATCTTTTAATGGCAGCTTCGCTACTTCAAAGAATATCCTAAAATATAAAAAAATATTTAAAAAATTTGCAAGTTATTTTAAGCACTTTTCGCCGAATGATAGACAAATGCAAATGCCGGAAGAAAAAGACGTGAAAATCTATTCTTAAACTAAATTTTAAATGAATTGAAAAAAATGTCGGACTTACTTGTGACTATATTTGTTGCGGACCGTTGTTAATGCTTCCTTATGTTTCCGATGTAACCCTTGGTTCAAGAGGTTGGCAATGTCTTTTATGTCTTCAACTTTATACCCACTATAATATTCTAAAGTCGCAGTCCATCCTCCTAGATCTTTCATTTGTAACGCAACTAGGAGCGCAGCTGCAGCGATTTTACTATCACTAAACATTATTGTTGAATAATCCATCAGGGAATATTCCAAAATATATCGGGCTAAAGTTAAAGTTGGCATCGATACCTTTGCACACTATTTAAAAAAGAACATAATTATTGCGATAAAAATAATAAAACTTGCAATAATTGAGCGAAATTCAGTGATTGAAGTAACCCACCCTAGCGTATCGTCTTAAAAACCTATACGAAAGAGGTATACCAAGATCAAAATCGATTACTTTCAAAACACTCATTTCCATTCTAATTAATTCTCTTTGTGTGTAAGCACCGTCACATATATACAAAAAGTCTTCGACCATTGGAGGTATTCTTTCCTATGATAATTGTAATAAAATTTAGTAAAAAACATATCTTTGTTTAAAAATTAATAATTCACTTGTGTATAAAATATTGATACTAACATCATATTTACTTGCTATGAAAAGACTTGCAGCACCTAACAATTGTAATGTTTCTTTACCAACCGTTATTTTTGTTAGATACAAATCAACTAATTTCACAGCCAAATACAAAGTTTCATGGTTCAGTTCAAATGATTCTTGAACTTCTACCATCCAGTCAATTAATAATGCTCTCATCCATCGTGAGAGACATATTTGTCTATCCATATAATCTCCAATGGGAAATAAACGTTCTCTATCTTTTAAGTAATTAAAGATATCCATGGCATAGTGAGAAACCTGAAATGGGTCTAACCAATTCTCTGCATCAAAATCCCATTGAACTCCTTCAGGTAATACTCTTTCAGGCACAGCATCTAAACATGCTGCTATAGTTTTTTCTTCAGTTTTTGAAGATACTTCAGATGTACTTGTTTCACTTTCATTTTCTTTTTCAGAGATTTCTGTTATTTCAGGTTGCTGAAAAAATTTATATAAATATACAAATATGATAAAAAATATTCCACAGTTGAAGGTCATTTACCTGAATATTGCTTCTCCTTGATTTCTTAGAAGTGTCATCTCCCACGTCCTCTAATGCACTTACATATAAAGAATTGTCTTCTGATTTTTCTAAATCTAAACTATGTCTAACATTTACAATTGTACTAGCTACTTCAGTTTTCTCCTCATCTTTCTTCACTGGTTTCGGATGAAGCACTGGCTTTGGTTTTGGAGGTATTATTTCAGGTTTAGTTATAGCTTTTTCAAGCGTTCTGATAGAACTTGTCTGAGTGAAAGATTTTGCTTGAGTAGCAGTAGCTTTTTTAACTACTTTCTTTGGTTCCTGTTGATGTGTTCCCAATGTCTTGCCAATAGCCTGTTATATTATACAGCATTAGATATAAATTTACAAAAAAAAAAAAAATAAAAGTATTTATGCAACATACATTAGTGATGTTCCCTAATGCAGATCTTTTTGTAGTTTTTTCTTTTGGTGGAGATGCTTCCGCTTTTCTTTTAACACAGGGATCTTTTCCAAGAACAGGTGGTTTAATTAAAACATTATTTGTTTTAGAATTTTGACTTCTTGTTACTCTTTTTCTTGCATTTGTTATATTAATATTGCTTTGTTTATTTTGTGCATTTAAAATTTTTGATGGTGCCATTTTCATTAACCAAATTAAAAGATCTGTTCTCTCCCTATGTATGTAAAAATAACATATAATATAACCAACAATTCTTTACAATTATAGTGGAATGAAAATTATTGTTTACAAAAAACATACAATTTTTCAAATTAATTTTATATTAAATATACGATTTTAACACCAGTATGTACGTATACATGCATAAGTGACCATGAGGAGGACGATATTTTAGAACTAATATTCGAACAAGATACTCCGATTTTTTTTTTGTTTAACTCTATTTTATAAAAGTTTAATCAACATTTGATTGATTCGTTTTAAAATCGAAGTCACTTTCTGTCAGAAATCATGAGATTCGTCCATATTTTTTAGTAGGAATTTTGGCTGTTGACTTGATTCATAGGACAACACATTCACGGAGGTAAAAACGCGGGAACGTATTATAAGAGCATACTGTTAGACAAAATGAGCATGAATTTTATCAGCGTTAAAAGTTCTAATAGCACCTTTGAATATGAGGGTGCATACAAAAAAAGCAATGGAATAAGTAGAAATTACAAACTGTTCGTAACTACCACAGAGACAAGCGATCGTTAAACAATCCAAACATTCACCAATACATATGGAGGAGGTCTCGATATTTACACAAAAAATTGTTTCGTAGTTTTAAATAAATTATTACTGTTTACCTGCCGGTATTAATTATTATCCAATATGCTCTGGTGCAATGGTATTTTTCATTTATGAAATTCTTATGCCACTAAGACGTCGCCGTGATACCCATTCGTTTCACCAGAGCAACTGAAGTTGACGTTGTTCAAAATATCACAGTTACTGTTAACGCCTTCTATGATTGGTCCACTTCAATTTGTGTCGACCAATTGGAAGCATGGAAACATCTGAGACCGCCACCTATCGATACGATTAACAATCGAATTGTATTCAAAATCATGGACCAAAGAATGTAGAGATAGAGTATATCTCAGAGCGGTTGGAGGTGCCCAGCTGTTCCTTGGCTGACTCCTTAAGAGAATTTATAATTGAAGCTTTAGACAATTTGTGAATTTGAAATTTACAAATATCTAAATCTGGAAACTTGTAATTTTTTTAATTCTTTACAACTGGCGGTACAGAACATGTGCGGAGCCAGTAACGGAGCCCCCCACTTTTGTTGCTTCCATTCCCCTTGTCAATAATCCCAGCTTACACTCCCCCTCTACATTTCTGGGTCCACATTCAGAATATATTGGTTTTTCATATATATTTTATGCAGTTAATGACAGATAATTTCGATGAATCTGAAGAATTACATTTTGTATTATTTAATATTCGACATAAGTGATGATACTTTGAGCAAGCAATAGGGTCGCTGTTAATGTAATTTAATATATTTAATTCGTAGCTAAATGTTCGTTTTATAACTGTACGACCACTTCTTTATTCATTAAAATAATTAAACGTTCAGATTTAATCAGAGAAATCGTTTGCATAATTAATTTGATGAACTTCGTTTATATATCGTAAACAAGATTCACGTGAGCACCGCGAACTAAATATTACTAACAAACGAATAACCTTTGACCTACATTTAGTATCGTTCCTTTTCGATTAAAACGTTAATAACTTAAAATTCAAGGTAGAAAATAATCTATCGTGTAACAGTAATAAAATATCACGAAAAGATATTCCTATTTGTTGGTGTTCGTTAACCTAACTAAACGAATATTTTTGATTTTATGTCGTGAAAATTTGTCACATACCGAATATTAATCATACGTTCTCTTCACACATGTGCGTCATTCTGATCGTCTTCTAAGTTTCGATCCCATTGGTTTGTAGGATTTATGAGTGAATAAGAATGCAAAGTGAACGTTTTCTCGTAAAATATATAACAGTGAACAATTGCTTTGCCTATTTACCCGATACCTGGCTACGTAAATTGGAAACTAAGGTTTGTATTGAATAACTTCTATAATCAACTAGGAACAACTATATTCTGAAACACATATTCCATACGCAACTGTAAGAAATCTGATCAGCATATCAGATTTTGACAAACTAATTTTCTACGTAATAATGTTATATCGTTTAACTAGATGTCGACGTTAGCACTTTCTCCTGGCGGGAAAGATAAAAATCATTACTTGAATCGGTTTGCAGATTTCTACTTTATCGATAGCGAATACTAGACAGATCCTTTTCAGTCGATACAATAACTGAAGCAATCGTTTTTATTTACAATGGATAATTCGAACAATTTATTACGAATTACAGGAAAATGTAATCGAAATACTACATAAGGGTAAGACGTATTACCTATCTTGTAATGCAAGATCAATTAGTAATGGAACTTTATGTCTCGGACCATCCTTTGCTAGAAGTTTGAACATTAATGAAGGTGAAGAAGTATTTGTGTGTTCCGTAAAAGATGTCCCATTTTTAACTAAAATCAGCGTTGCACCTCGAACTACGAATGACAGGGAAATTCTGGTAGGGTGTAACACAGTGTTACAATAAAAATTTTCACGTTTTTTATTCTTGTTTTCTTAATACATAGATCATTAACTTCTTTCATAGGAATTGCAAATTGAGAAGGTGCAATCAACGCTTCTTAGTCAAATTCGCGTTGTTGCCAAAAATCAACCGATCGTTGCGTGGGTCTCGAAATTTACTTCCGTAACATTAATTGTAGGCAAGTAACTCTGGATCATTTTCATTATAGTGAAACTACAACACCTTCAAAACTTCTGTTCTTCCACAGAATCTTTGGAGCCAAATCTGAAGTATGGAAAGCTCGAACAGTTTTCAGAAATTCACGTGGGTGATGCATTGGCAAAATCAGAACCCTCAAACGAGCCAAAGAAGCAAAATAATGTCCCAAGCAAGCTAATCGCAGATTTCAGAAAAATGTTACCATTTAAGAGTGAAGAGAACAAATTAAATGTAAGCGAAATAGAAAGAAACGAAAAACTGTTGCACAGTTTTTGTAACAGAAAGAAGCCGATGGTGTATCGTGCCCACCCCTTACCAAATCGCATAGAAGACAATCCTTTCAATATAATCGCCAGCTGCCCTTACCACGTGTTCGTGCCGAGGCGCCATGCACCAAAATTTTCGGGCAATTTCGCGCTTTGTCGAGTGAAAAAGATGGCAGAGAGCAAACAGCATCAGAATGCGACGAGCACTAACTTCCTCGTGAAGGTGGACTCATCCGTTCCAGAATTATCCACGGAGCTTATAGTTAGGCTATTCATCGTGGAAGATGTATTCGACGGGTCATCCACGTTGAATCATTTTAATGTTAACTTCCTCCACAAGAGTGTTTACGTATCAGATAGTGTGAGGATCAGTTTGAATCTCAAAACAGGGTCAAAGATTAGCTTATGTCTGCTGGAAGCTTCCGAGAATGTTGCACCCTCTTCCATTGAACTGTTCTCTTTGAGGAACTCCGTGTCCTTGGACAGTTTTCGAAGTTATGTTGCGATGCACTCGAATCCTGAGAAATTGTTGATCAATTCTTGCGCTGCTCTTGTGGTGGATGGTAATTGTTGCGTTGTAAAGATCTCTCCAGACAGTTGCACTTATGGCATGGTCGATGGGATCGACGTGGAGAAGACGAAGGTTTCTTCGAGGTCTGTTAACGAGGAGAGTCAGTTGAGGGTGGCTTTGGAGAAGCAAGAACATTCCGGTTTGGGAAAGGTTTTTACTCGGTAATATGTCGCTTTTATTGGCACAATTTTTCAAATTCAGAAATTTAGAACATTCCCTGCTTTCAGATATTTAAAGAACGTTTTGTTGGAATGTGAACTCACATTGGACCTCAGTCTAGGTCTGCGAACCCAATTGGGATTTGAATACGATCGAGAGAATATTTTAATTTCTGGGGCACTTGGTACGGGCAAAACGACTGTTTGCAAAATACTTACAGATTACTTACAGAAACCACCTTATTTCGTACACACCCACGCAATAGATTGCAGATCTTTAAAAGGTATATACTTAAATTTATTAGTAATGTATATTTGTCATTCGATAATTTATTTTTTGTTCAGGAAAGAAGGCCGAAATGTTACAAAAAATTTTGATAAATGCACTAAATGAGTGTGTTTATTATGAGCCCTCCGTGTTATTTTTGGACGATATAGAATCCATTACAAATGCTTCGACGAATGACGAAGAGAATACTCCAGATGCTACAAATGCGGCTAGGTAGTTTATTCTTTTCCCAACATTTTTGCAAAAAGAATATATAGAGTTTCTGTTTCATAGAATCACGGATATTTTGATTAACACGGTGACACAGTATCAAGAATCTCATTATGTGTCAGTCATTGCTACGTGTGCAGGCGTCGGCAAAATAGGCCAGAAATTAAGGCCAGCAAGGGGTTGCCATTTCTTTAGAACCGTTTTAACTATTCCAAATCTAGAAAAGGTATTCTGACAAAAGGGGACAAAGAACGTTTCTATAAAATTTTTCTTAGAAAATTAGCAAGACACGCAGCGGGATTATTATTCATAGCGTAATTTGTCCTCTCTAATCAGGCGGATAGAATCGATATTTTGCAATTAATGCTCCGGGACAAGTGGTACGTGCCAGGAGAAGACGTGAATTGGGATTACTATGGAAACAAGACCGAGGGATGGATGGTTCAGGATCTCGTGGATCTCGCACAGAAAGCCACGTATGTTGCTTGGAATCGTCACGGTAATAAAATCTACATTTAAGAGCTTAGCATAAGGTTTTGTATTCCATTACAATCTTGTACAACGTGGTTAATAAGAACTTGATTTTTTTAACGTAAAAGGAATGTCGAAGCCTCCTGTCATTATCACGGAAGAGGACATGTCAAACGCGTTGCAGAATTATACACCAATATCCCTGCAAGGTATACAATTGTACAAAGGGACAGGTCACATGTGGTCGGACATCGGAGGCCTGGCAGAGGTGAAGAGGTCCCTCGTGGAGATTTTGCAGTGGCCACTGAAGTATCCTGAGGTGTTCAAGAATGCGCCGATCAAGCTGCAAAATGGTGTTTTATTGTACGGTATGCCTGGGACGGGAAAGACTATGCTTGCCAAAGCGATCGCCAACGAGTGTGGCGTGAATTTAATTAGCGTTAAGGCAAGTAATATTTAGGATACTTTATTTCTGATTAAAATTGCAATTTCATGGAAATAATTTTCATTTCAGGGTCCAGAATTATTATCAAAATACATAGGCGCTAGTGAGGAGTCTGTTAGGAATATGTTTGAAAGGTGAGGGTGCATATTTAAGAATGAGATGGTTATACCACTGTAAGAATAATAATATATTTATGTATCTTACAGAGCTCTCCGTGCAAAACCGTGTGTCCTCTTTTTTGACGAGTTCGACAGTCTCGCCCCCAGGTGAATAATTAACTAATACGATGCAATTCGTTAGGAAATCATTTCTTAATTATCATACGTTTTTTAGACGAGGTCACGATAGTACCGGCGTGACAGATAGAGTAGTGAATCAATTGTTAACGCAAATGGACGGCGTGGAGGACAGAGAAGGTGTAGCAGTCGTGGCTGCCTCTTCGAGACCAGATTTGTTAGATTCAGCTTTGCTGAGGCCTGGACGTCTCGACAAAGCGTTATATTGTCCACTTCCGGATGAAGTATATCCTTTAACAATAATTGATACTCAAACTTAATATTAGCACCACATACATTCGTTTTTTTTTAATTGTATAGGCAGATAGAGAAGAGATACTAGCAGTACTCTGTAAGGCACAGAAAATAGACCATGAGGACTTGGATTTAAAAGAACTAGCTGGGATTACTTCAGGATTTACAGGTGCAGATCTGAATGCCGTGGTTACGCAGGCTAAATTAACAGCTTTCGAAGAAGATGCCGAAAATCTAACTGTGAGTATAAATGTTACGGGAAAAGATATTCAACACAAAGATGAATCCGTAACAAAGACAAAGTACGAGATACTTCGTACAAGAACGAGTCCGCAACAAAATAGGACCAGAAATGGTTTCTCTGTTCCTAACGATCGTGCCGTTTTGTCGCGAATCCTGTCGTATCTCCTGGCTGCAATAATGAAAAGCATTTTAGCGCGACTCGGGACGAGAATCATTTGTAGGGAGGTTTCCAAAGTAAGATAGTGCGTAATGATGATAATATCGTTAGGTGTACATCCCGGTTATGTATATAGAGTGGCGTCGAGGTAGCTAGGTGGGTTAGGTACGGTGCGATATAACTGAGGAAACGTAGACCAGGTTTATTAGCGCACGATGCCGAGAGCACCAGCCATCCCCCATCTCGCTCCACTTCATCCTGGCCTACGCCTCGCTGAACGTCGAGGGGGTTATTATCTTATGCGTTATAATGATACACGGTTAGGGCCTGCAGCGGTCCTGTAAAATCGAAAGGCAGACACCCTGTTTCACCCCTGAGTCGCGTCCTCTTTCCAGGAGTTTCACCATCCGACGATATAGCTTTGCGAGGTTCCTTTGGAAATCTAATTCTGTAGTTCTTAGGCGATAATCGAATTGTTTATGCAATTCTAATACATTAAAGTATGCAATATATATGTGACAAAGTTTTAAAATAGTGGTATCTATGTTCCACCATGTCATAATCGTTTCAGTGTGTAAAAGGGAATATCGCGTATGTGATAGGTAGGGGGGTCCATTAATTAACTTCCTACAGGGAAAACAAAGTTGCGCCGGCACTTACTAACCGGAAGAACACGAATATCCAAACTGTACGTCTAATTAGCGAGCGAGTTTCCTGAGCGCGACGCGTTTGGAGAGGAACGCGTCTCACTGATAAGCGATAATGTCTATAGGTAGATTTACGGTGTATTTCTCCCTTAACGTTGTAATTAATGGTTTCGCCGTTTCAATTTGATTTCAGGATGGAAAAATTACAGCGAAAGATTTCAAAGTTACTCAACAGCATCTGATCGATTCCATTAGAAATACTCACCCATCTTTGTCCGCCGCTGAGAAAGAAAAGTACAAAAGAATGTGAGTATATATATTTTATTTAGCACCTTCTTGCATCTCATATTAATCATTTTTTAATTTTACAGTTATGCCAGATTTTCAAGGAACGATAATTTTATAGAAGACGTGGTGAAGAACCAGAAGGCTACTTTGGCGTAAAATTTATTTTTGGGATTCTTAAGAGATGAATTTTTTATACATCTATTTTTTGACAAAACCTATCAATCGTAGCTAAATATAGAGGGATTATTAAAACTTGTCTTTTCATTCGAATATTTTCACGATTCAACAAATTCGTAGAGTCTATATTTTCATTTTATCATGTATACGTGAGTGCAGTTTCTGAGAGGTAGCCGAAGGGGTTGCAGGGGTTCAGTTTTCCTCGTTTAGCGAAGTATAAGCGTAATCCGGATGCCTGCGTCTCTCAAGAAACTCAGCCTCGTTGGCGTCGTTCCGCGAAGCTTAACAGCGTGGGCACAAGAACTTTTCGTATTAATAATCGGTATAATAATTAGTATTTTCATGCGCGACTTAGCAGGAAGGAGGCACGCGGCTGTCCAAGAGAGAGAGAGAGAACGCGCTCCGAACTTTGGTGGATCTTGATTTTAAGTTCGGGCGAAGGAGGCGCATATTTCACCCCGCTAATGTCCCGCCAGATAAACTACAATATTAGCTGCCTTCGCCCGTGATTTAATTTAACTTTGCCCCGGCGCGACATCCGCCTCTAGCTTTCGGCTGCATCCCTCTTCAGCTTGGTTAACCAACATCCCCGGCCACCCACGACCCGCCCTGTTATGTCGACATGTGTTCTTGGTTTATAGTTTTGGCTAGAATAAGCGGATTCCTCAGAAATTACCTGCTCGTTCGAATAATATTCCTCTTTTCGATTTTAAGCCTCCGTATTTAGATTCATATCTCGTGCTGTGTGACGTAGCATGTTATGTTGTACGACGAAGTATAACAAAAAGTTACATAAGTATGAAATCATAAATGAACCAGAAATGGCAGTTTTCGAATATTGTTAAAAAAAGTTGAATGAAAAAGAAATTCTTTAAAAATCGCATCGCATTTCAATTCAGTCTGGTTTTATTGAATGGAAACAATCGGGATTGGAACACAGAAGACCTTTCGTCCTTTTCTCTTGCTATCACCATATAGGTGACCAGAGGAATGCATTTCCACGATTTGGTAATCGCCTTACCGCGGCACCGACCGACGTTATTGCCTTATCTTGTAGCCACCGTGAGATAGAGAGAAAAGAGAGAAAGAGGGGCCATGTGGAAACAGCGAATCGAGGGCTTCGATGAAAGAATACGCTGATACGTTTTTAATTTTAAATCAAAGATAACAATATCTTTTCCGTACACACTGTTTTTAAAATATGTAAAATCCTTTCGTTAGAAGATTGTCTCGTTTGTATAAGAAAGCAAAAAAGGGTTCGACTACATTCGTGTTGTTAACTAAGAAGAACAAAAGGCTGGACGATCAGTCGAGTCAGAAGAACGACAGGAAGAAAAGCGGAAACGAGAATGCGAGCCGCAGTAACAGTGGCGTTGGCTATTTAGCATAAAAATGGCCAATTATCCGGCTAACAAGCCGAGCGAGCGACGGGAAAGCCCGGAGAAACGCGTAGCTGGCTGCTGCTAACTCCGTTTACACCGCCTCGCCTCTTGAAGAAGATTAGTTAGCGTAAATGCCGTCGGTCGTAGCATTTTTATTCCTGATTACCGTTTCTCGTCGCGCTAATCTCGTTACCTTGACATTCGAAAACTTGACTTCGCCGTCTCCGGGGCCTCCCCGTTCCATAGCTTTTCTTCGACGCGACGCCGAACACGGAAACGTCGCG